CAGCATCAAAGGCAGTTTAAAAGCCTTAGGAAAAGGATTGGCCGACGGAAAGCACACATGACTGCCATGTTTCACCGTAGGATGGCTGATGACGATGAGCGTTTTCACGCCCTAAGAACAGCAATGGTAAGTTCAGTAAATTATTAATACTATCTAAAGTAGGATTTGTGGAGTTATGTAGAGCTAATTTGCGCCTTTGTATGTGTTCCAGATATGCAAATACTACGGGACGCGTCGTGTCCCGCGCTCTCTCTGGGTGAACAATAGAACCTCTGCCTGGTGGGAGAACGTGGTGCCGACGTACACCGATGTGCAGTGGATCCAAGATTTCAGAATGTCCAAGCACTCTTTCCAATACCTCTGTAGTCGCCTGGAAGCAACGTTGGGGAGAAGCGACACCAACTTCCAGGAGTGTGTCCCTGTGGCTAAAAGAATCGCCATAGCACTGTGGAAACTTGCGACCAACTCTGAGTACAGGACCATCTCTCATTTGTTTGGAGTCGGCAGATCTACAGTGTGTTACTGTGTGCACGAGTTCTGCTCCTCTGTTGTGAGCATACTCCTTTGTGAGTTCATGCCATGGCCGAACGCTGAGAAGTTAGAGGAGATGGCGTTATTTTTTGAGCGCAGATGGGGTGTGCCACAGTGTGTAGGTGCAGTAGATGGATCACACATCCCCATTCTGAGACCAGAGGAATACCACAACGAGTATTTCAACCGCAAAGGCTGGCACTCGCTCGTCCTGCAGGGTGTTGTGGATGGTAGAGGCCTCTTTTGGAATGTTTTTGTTGGCTTACCAGGTAGCATGCATGATAGCAGAGTGTTTGGCATGTCATCACTGTGTAGTTTTGCGGATAAGGGTGGTCTACTTCCTCATGTAACAAAGAATATTGGTGGACATGATGTGGGTTACTATATCCTTGGTGACTCAGCCTACACCCTGCAAAGATGGCTGATGAAACCTTTCCAAGGAAGGCTCACACCCGAGCAACTTGTGTACAATCACAAAACAAGCCGAGCACGAGTGGTGGTGGAGAACGCTTTTGGCAGATTGAAGGGCAGGTGGCGGTGCTTGATGAAAAGAAACGACCGCAAGATGGACAAGATAAAAATCCAGGTGGCAGCATGTTGCGTGTTACATAACCTTTGTGAAAGTAATGATGATGAGTACAGGGACGAATGGACTGCCTTACCGGCGACCCAGCTTGATGGGCCAGCGCCAGCCATTGCCAAGGCTGGGGGGCAAGACACACGCACAGCCCTTATGAGGCATCTGAACAGCGTGTAAATTGTACATTCTAAACAATAAATGTAAACATTGACAATAAAGCTGATCATTTCTACAGTGCTTTTGTTTCTCTCTTTCATTTTGCAGTCAAGACAGGCAACATTACAATAGTGTAATAGTAGCCAAAACTAACATACATGTTAGTAACTAAAGTGTCAGTTGTACATGTCACTAAACATTGTCAATATCAAATAAAGTGTCAGTTGTACTATATAATAACAGTAATAACAATATAAAATAAGGATCTGTTTAATCGCCATGTCGGTTTTCTTTATTGCACTCTCAAGACATAACATGAAATAGAACAATTTTTATGTCGTAACTCTTCTATTATACGGCTCTGCTGTCAACAAATCTTGAAAACGGAGACGAGGGGAATGTAGAAATCGGTAAATCACTTCAGAAATGTATTGATAATTGTTCTGCTTTTTAATGTAAACTTGAATTCATAGTAAACTAGCTGCTTTTGAGCACTTTACTTTTTACATGGGCCATTTTGAACGTGACGTGACTGTATTCAAACTAAGTCACCATCTACCCCTAGTTTCATTTGGTGCATCAGTCTTTATTTTGCCCTATGATGATACTAACCTAGCATTCACAACCCTAGTTTTTTTATGGTTTCATTTTGGAAATAAAAACATAAAAAATGGAAACTTTCATGTCATTTTTGGCCCATAGTGGACTCCATGTTGTGTTGTGTGAAATGTGGGGGAATTAAAAGTTTAGGTCAAATATTTAAAATGATATAAATTATCATATTTGTGTATGTGCCGCTGCCATTCCTCCACAAGGTTGCAACATTGATGATAAATAAATGACAAATAAAGCTTTGCCAGTTTATAACCGATGAAACATGATGGTATCAGAATACTCACTTACATGTGATGTATAGGATGCTACACAGGTCACTAAAGATAAAGTGTCAGAAATAAGCAAGATGATTTAATCGCCATGTTGGTTTTCTTTATTGCAGCATATGACATAACATGAAATGAGAACAATTTTTTAATGTAAATAAAGTGACAAAGTGTCAGTTGGACATGTCAGTAAACATTATATATAAAATAAAGTGATAACAGTAATAATATAAAATAAAACGGTCCCAGGTGTGGAGATAGTCTCAGCAGCATACACACCTTAGTGCAAAGTTGTGTGTCGTGTGTCAGTAAAAACCAAATAAACTAAACTTAACTAAACTATGCCTAAACTAGGCATAGGCTCAGCAGCAGACATTAACAGGGGCCACTATTTGGAGGAAGACCTGTTGGCTGGGAAAGCACTTCCAGAAACCCAGTGTTAAATGCCGCTTGTTGCTCATCCTGCCGCTCCTGGCGCAGCTCTTGGCGCAGCGCCCACACTTCATCCTGGTGCCGCTGGCGCTCCATCTGCTGCTGGAACAGTTCTGACTGGCGCTCCATCGAGGTGATCATTTTGGCCTCCGTTTCCTGGGTCTGGCTGAACTGCACCACCTGATCTACGCGCAGCGTTCTATTGTTCACCCAGAGAGAGCGCGGGACACGACGCGTCCCGTAGTATTTGCATATCTGGAACACATACAAAGGCGCAAATTAGCTCTACATAACTCCACAAATCCTACATTAGATAGTATTAATAATTTACTGAACTTACCATTGCTGTTCTTAGGGCGTGAAAACGCTCATCGTCATCAGCCATCCTACGGTGAAACATGGCAATCATGTGTGCTTTCCGTCGGCCAATCCTTTTCCTAAGGCTTTTAAACTGCCTTTGATGCTGAAGAAACTTTGCGATTATAGCATTCGACGTGTGGCGGCTCCGGATTTGTGTCGGACGCCAAATAGGCTCAGGCTCAGGCCGCATTAACGAAGTTACAAAGATGTATAACATGAGCACAAACAGCACAACTTCAGTCGACTCCATCTCCATCATGTCTGAGGTCGGAAGGTAAACAACAGACAGTATACGCGGGAAGTTTTTCTTCTTCTTCTTGTCTTGTTTTGTAGCGGATTGCAAACAACTTTAAGGTGCATACCGCCACCTACTGTACTCGCCGTGAAGTGGTTTGTGGCCTGCCAGTAAAGCCAAAGCACAAGAAGAAGAAGTGACGTCAGCGGCTCATTTGCGTAATCTTCCCTCAGGGAAAAGTACTCCGGTGTGAACGCGATCTGTACTAAGTGCCCTGGGGTTAAAAGCGCCGGGGCTCTGAGTGCCGGAACTAAGTACAGGAAAGTACTTGGTGTGAACGCGGCTATTGACTACAGGTCTTTGAAGATCTGGAAAGATTCAACAAAAAACAAACTAGTTTTTTAGTGACCAAATAAACAGCAATGTTCAGATCAATTACTTATTTATGTTTTAAATAAAGGTGAATGTATTCTTTTATTAATATCACTCTATAACCATAATACGTTACATAGTCTATCTGTTAATTTTGGCTGTCTTTTCAAACAAAAATGGTCCTGACGTCCTCTACAGTGGACGTACTGTAACATTTAAAAATCAAATTTAATTAAAAAAGTCTAAATTGCAAGATATTTTTTTAACCCTAAATAAGTAGGAAATAAAAAATAAAGAAGATTGGAAAAAAATACATGATAGGATATTTAATACGTGCATTGAGAATAATTACAACATTTAGCTTGAGTTTATCATACCGTGTGTTGTGTAAAACCTGAATCTGGAAAGTAATTGTAAGCACAGCTAGCAAAATGAATATAGTGAGGTACAAAAGTCAATGCGATATCTGCCTTTGGAATACATAGGAGGTGGAAAAAGAAACATGAACTTATAACTCTCAAGTGAAGTATAAGTACCTCCAAATGTAACCTAAATACAGTGGTTGGATAACTTTAGCTACTTAGTTCACTTCCTACAACAGACTGAATCCATTGAAGCTCTTGTTCATATACAATTACCAGGTCATTTTTTTTTTTTTAAATGTTAGGACATTTTCTTTGATATTAATTTCAGCTAAATGTTCACAAAGGGATCAGAATATTCTGATCAGAATAAACTGTTCGTAGATTCAACCACTAGGTGGCGGTGTGCACCAACAGGTTGACGTCTATAAACTGGCAGTGACGTGATAAGGTTATGCTGATTATCTCTATGTATTTTTCACCAAAAACCCTTGTTAAACCAGGGGATGTATCCTGCGCATATTACGCGGTGTGAACTGTTTGGAATTTGGGAATTTAACTTTCTTTCTGGAGTCATGCATACAAATAAAAACAAAGTGTGCATCTTCTTTGTTTCTGGTTAGATAGACTTGTAAACACTGCGCTTAAAAGGCTCATAAATGTTGACGGAATTGTAAATCAGCATGCACATCAGTGCAACACCAAGTATGCTACACCAACAATTAATCATTGAAGAAACATTATGTGAGATTATCGATCTAGAGTCATGCTTTCTTTTTTTACTGCATGACTTGGTTAACTTTATTCAGCCAATAATAACAAAAAAAGTCTGGATAGATACATCCACCCATGGCTATACCATGTTTAGTGCATCATCGCATGAGGCAACGTTGCCGTGGAAGCCGCCGACGCCAGTAGAGAAGACCTACCTAATTTTTAAACCCCACTTTGACAGAAATGAGCTGCAGCCAATGAGAGCCGGGTTTGATAAATTATAAGCTAATCAGATCAGCCAGGGGGCGGGACTAACCCGATCCTCAGGACGAGAGAAGGTAACTGTTACTAAAAGAGTGTCAGATATGAGCCAGCCACCAGCTCGGGCACGTCTACACTGAAATAACTTCAAACGCAGGCAGGTGGTTTCATGAAGGTTAATGACGGAGCCTTTCACAATATTTTGTTTCCTGCAGGAATATTTGTCGGAACCCAGACAAAGGAATTGATAGAGTTGGAGCTCCTTTTTTTTGGTAAGTCTGAATGCGCAGCTATGAGCAGGCTGACAGGAATGGCTGAGGGAAAAGAGAAAAAAATCGTGTTATCTTTGCACTCAAAGCTAGCTTTTGGGAATAGGGCTAAAGTATGTTAGCTAACCTGGTTGTAGCATCATGCTGTGACAGTCAAATGAAAGATGTATCATGCTTTGTCTAGCCTTACGGAAAGCCACATGACCGTAAACTTGCGAGTAACGGGACGGGATGTAGGACAAGAGACTGTACTGTGTCATGATGAGACCGACTGAAGCTAGCCAGACAGCGGGGATGAAGTCTGTGTGCAGCCGCCTTATCCACACAGATATGTAGAGTTAGTTAGGTTCTTTATTACATCTTATAAAAAGATAATAATTCCTAATTTGTGTTAGTTTGACCTATGCTGTTAACGTTACCTTAGTATGACCTGTTTGGCCATGTGCATGAAATGTGTCAGGTTGACTTAACAATATGAAAACAAACCCCCATTTAAAAAAACATGTTTTTATAAATACTAGAATGTGTAGCCCTTTATGTTTGTTTAAAGGATTTATATAATTTTGAAGTCCATGACAAAAAATGGTTTTAGAATAGGAATTAAGAACACCTTTAGCTTTATTGTTTGTAAAAGACCACGTGCATTAAGATTTGTTTTTGTAATTACCTCAAATAAAAGAAAAAATAGAAACGTATAATTTCCTGAACAATTATGTATTTGTCCTAATATAATTATTGTATTGTAACTAACACATCTGCCCCTGATATGACAGGTTTTAACATATATTGCCAACATTATTTGCTATGAGAATGTTACTTTAATCAAATACAGGTTTTGAATTCAATACACATCTTTATTGTTTGGTTAACTTAAGTTCAGCAGCAGTTTCTTCCAACTAAAGGCTGATTAAATAAGTTATTATTAAGTAATAACAGAAAATGTTGCTCCTTTGTTTTCAACAGCCATTCTTCATTGCAGCACATGTTATGGAAGGAGGAGCCTTGAACTGAAGGAGACCAAACCAGGCAGCTGGATTTAACACAAACCTTGACTATCTTTTTGGAGTGAATCTTGTCTTCTCACCTTGTTGAAATGCCTTGACCGTGCCCCTGCCGTACCATGGCAGGTTTAGTCTCCTCTGTGGGTTTGGTGGTGATGCTCAAGGCTCTCATGCATGCCCATGGCCAGCGTGCAGTGTTCCTGGGGATGATGGTGTTGGTAACAGTAATCGCAGCTGACTCACCTGTTGCAGGTAAGAGAACACCTTTTGCTGACTCACACAACACGATCCACTCATTTGTACCTTGTGTGTGTCATTCAACAATCAGTTAGCTCTGAAGCATTGACTAGTAATAGTCCCCAAGTTCAGTTCAAATTTCACTTGTAAGGTGATGAATGCAAATGAAAAATAACTAGTGAATAAAAGTGAATATGGTATCTGTGGAACAACAAGGGCCACATACAGTACCGCACAACCAAACATGTGTATGGCGTATATAACTAAAATAGCTTCATGTATTGCACTAGAAAGTATTGTTAAAATGGGTCTTTTATGCTATTTGGGGTTTTCTCTTTCCTATGGTGTGTGTTTTTGTGCATGTACATGGCCTGCAAAGGCTCCAATCCAAAGTTCTCTCCCACAAACTCCCCCTGCCTTAAACACCTCGGACCTTGGACTCCTTTGTTTACTTCAGTAACATAGTGACATCACTATGTACCACTTATTGACTTATTGGCTAGCGCTCCAACACATTGTATGTGATAGGCTAAGGGAAGGGACATCTCTTAACAGTTGATCAATCACAAAAAAGCCGGCCAGCTAACCAATCAGAGCCGACTGGGTTTCAGACAGAGGGTGAAAAGAGGTCCGCAGTATGAGAAAAATAAAGCATGTTGAACATTAAAGCATGTAAACATGTCACAAAATACAACTATGAACCGGGAATTAGCATAATAGGACCCCTTTAACCAGTTGTGTGTTTGTGGTGGATTGTTTTAATGGCATCCAGGATGCAAGGCAGGCGTTATAAAGATCTTAAATCAGAAGTTTAAAGCCATCTATTGTTTCTTAACACCAGTGTGCAGGGCGGCAAGAGCATCACCTAAACATTTTTACTTTCCTATATGTATCTTTCTTCAACCTTTATTTAACTAGGGTAGGTTTCCTTAGCGGGAATGCTTATCTTCAGCAATATTTGACATCTAGGAGAAGCTTAGTAAAAACCATAGTCTTGTTTGTCGGCCACTGAGGAGCTTCACTGGAGCAGTTGGGTTTATAGTGGCCTTGTACAAGGCCAACTTTACCAGTGACCTTCCAGTAATGAGATCGCTATCTTAACCTTTATACTCTTTCAAACTCTTTTACTTAAAGGTCCCATGTCATGCTTTTCTGGTTATTACCCGTCCCCTTGTGTGTTATGTAGCTTTTTATGCATGTAAACGGTCTGCAGAGTCACAAACCCTCAAAGTACACCCTGTAGCGAGTAAAACTCTAACACAGAAAAGACCTGTCTATGCTGCCCCAGAACGCCTCGTTGGAGATTTCTCTTTTTCCATTGTTTACTTCTTGGGTATAGCGACGCATTTCGGGTATAGTGACGCAAATTGCGGAGCCGTTACGTTTGGAACCAATCCGCGGACTTCCTCACACACACACACTCGGCGGGATGTTGCGAGGCTCGCTGCTGCGAGGAGCGGGACACTGTGAGCTGGCTCACTGGTGTGGGGTCGGCGAGACAGCGAGACACCGCGGAACTCAGCCTGGGCACACACACAAACTCCTAGCCAGGCTGCGGGTGTGTGTTTCGCGCTGGGTTTCGCTGTGTCTCGCTGTCTCGCAGACGGCCACTGGGCTCACAGGGAGGGGGGGGGCAGGAGCTCCAACAAGCCGTTTAGGACAAAGAGTGAATAGTATACACATACTATACAGAGATGCTGTATGAGAAACCAATGTGATTTTGGAAAATTGCACAATATACATTTATTTTAGTAGACCTCAACAATGGAATTATGATCAGTAGAAATGGCCATGACATGGGACCTTTAAAGCACGTCTCTCTCTAAGAAGAAATGCCATGCAGCCCTGAAAATGCAGCCGTTGGTTTTGCTATTGGTTGAGTAGTGTACCGAAAAGCAATGTCTATGTTTTGAAGTTTACATCAGCATAAACTGACTTTATTTTCATTCAATAAAGTCAGGGCTACAGCATGACCTCGGAAAGTTGAAGAGACATTCATGTTTGATTCTGGATAACATGTTAAGTTGACTGTAACTGAGTTAAACCCCTTTTCAGTAATTAGGGAAAGAGAAAGGGTCTAAATCCATCCACTTGGTGGGTGTTTTCCCCAGGCTGACTTTTATAGATAGTGACATGATCCCACCAACCCCCCTCCCCCGACACATTGCCCAGTGAAAAGAAAACGTTTTAAGAGAAGCCAAAATCTCTTGATATCGTGTTGTAATAGGATTATGTAGTAAATGCTGGGGTGAAAGCCTTGTGCAGGAAACCAGGAATAAGTCAATCTTAAAACTCTCCGTCCATTCACAACTTTTTGAATGTAATGACCATTAATGTGGTCCACCAACATTTCCTCAGTTTAATGCATTAATGAGGACCGTGTAAGACAACCCCTAGACATGTTTTGCTCTGAGCAAATTAACCTAATTTTTTAATTATTTCCATGTTTCGCCTTGACAGTATGTGTTGGTGACGGTTGTACAATAAGGCTTGAACAAGATATTTTTTCATATCCCAAACATAAGATGTAGAATCTTCCTGGTGTCCCGCTATTTGGTTAGTGTCTAAAACAAATGCCTGGTGTCACATACCATATACTTTGTAAATGATCTTATTTTTTACCTAACAAGTTACCCAGTTCATAGAATGGGGGAAAGAATAAAGTTAAAACACATTTTACTTCAAATTCACATTTGACTTCAAATCAAAGTTTCATCATCTCTTATGGAAAGTATATCTTCTGGCAAAGCAGAGGCGTGTTTTATTTATATTTCTTTGTGGTTTGGATGATCGCTCTAAGCTAGATGCAACACTTTGAGGAGCTTGTCATAGACAGTTTCTCTGTGGCCGACTGCAAACCACCGCATCACAAGAGCGAACATTTATCAGCCATGGATTGTACAGTTTTAAGAGAGCTGCACGCTGTTCTCAATTAGCCTGTTTTAAGCTCTCTAAATTATTGCTGCTTACTGGGAACATGAAGGGATCAGTCTTAAAAAATAGAACACTATAATATGAGTCCGATGTTTGTAAAGTTTCACCTGTTTCAAATTAAGGCTGTTAATGTGTAAAACGATAGTATGAATCTCGACAGTATATTTAAATACAGTACGAACAGAACATTTCCTTGTATCGTTAGCATAAAAGACCTCAATACTACACCTTACTCTTTTTCTCTTTATCGTCCACTTTTGCATCTTTTTACACATCCATCAAATGTAAACAAATGTGTTCTCATGCTTATTTCGCATTAAATGAAAATGAAATTGAATTTTATTTAGTATCCCGCAAAGATAAGTGGTTCGCTGGCACTGTTTTTCTGACTGTTGAATCAGTATCATATACACAGATCTAAGTTAACTAAGCTGTTTCATACACTGTTTCATTTGGGACATGATTGCTCCTTAAAAGCTAGATTTAACTGCATTACTCATACATCATAGCTAAGGATCTTATAAGAACCTATAAAACCCTCAACATTTTTGTAAAAGTCTTCCCCCAGAATGCCTTAGAAGTAGTGTAAGTTATATTGTATGACAGGAGGTGCTCATTATCTTCACCAATTGCTTTACGGCTCACTTTAATTCATGCACTGGATGACAGATAACTGAGTATCCATGGTTGTATTCAGCAGTGAAAGCACCAGTCACACAGCTTTCTTCTTACAGACTCTGAAAAGCAATCTTTATAGTTTCTAGGTCAAATAGAGCGTGGCGACCTCCGTATAATTGTTCCTCCAGATCCGACATCATACAGTCATTTCCCTCTTTCTTATACTTCCCTGCTTCTCTGCTCAACTTTCAGTTAAAGAAATAGTTCCACATCTACACCCTAGATCTTAAATCCGAGATCATAACAAATGTATAGCTTATAATTATAAGCTTTATATGTGAAAACGCCAATGCAATTTGGCTCCATCTGCACTGCAGTAGCTGGCGAGTTGAACCCAGCGATCTGCAGGCCCAGCAGAGTCCTGGCTGATCACCAGTGCAGTCAGTCGCCATGTGAAATGTGATCCGTGTGGGATGACAATATGGCCATTCATTATTCATTAGAGCTGGGAGCCAGTTGCAGATCAATGGGTAGAAGCTATCAAAAGTCAAACAGTGGCTCTCTCCAGGCCTGCAGCTTGACCAGAAATATATTTTGGAAAAGAGCCCATGGCTGACCCCGTCTCTTTACCCACTGACCTCTCCAGAGTGATCTGGCAGTGTGGACGCTGCTCTGCTGGACAAGGACTGGTTTGTGATATCAAGCAGACATTTTAAAATCAACTCTTTTATGTGACCAACTTTGTATTCAATCGTTATGCCTTCTTCACAAGATGGCACAAATATACAGATACAAATTATATAAATAAAAATAAGGAAAACCCTTGCAATTGCATTGTTGGCAATAAGTCCTCTCCTGATCAACGTTGCATACACAAAGTGTGCATATATCTGCCTTTACAAGAAGGTCATAATCAAATAAGCAACTCTTTTAAAAGGCGTTAATGTTTCTCCATTGCTTACAGATGCGATTAGTTCTAAGATGTATACAGTATAAAAGAAAAGATATACGTTGATTAATAAAGAATTAGCTTTTATGGCATTCTTCAACATATTTACCGGTGTCCATTCGATATAGGTACAAGTTATTTTATAGTCAGTTAAGCGGAGGATGGCTGTAGTCATTTGCTTAATTTTTTCCAGTTGTCCCCTTTTACCGTCATCTTACTGGTAGCTTGTGATGTGAAGGTACCATGGGGGGGGGGGGGGGTGAATGCACATCTGTTAGTGATTTTGTGTACCCTTTTTTTGAGGCAATTTTCCACTGCAGTTTCAGCATCATACGAGTGTCCAAACGTAGCATGAATATTGTCTCGAACAATGATCTTATTTTAATCAGGGACCAGTTACTCAGAGATTTTTGTTGGTTTGTTTTTCCAGACAAACGTACCAATAAGTATAAAGTTGAGCTTTTACCATAATATTTGCATTTTTTTAACACGATTTTTGCGCTTAATTAAGATC